GATTCATCACGAGTAAGCACGATTCATCACGTCCTTGGTGATGAAAAAATGACGTCAAACTGTTTTTAAAGATTTAAGCGAGAGTCATCATTCTAACCACGACTCATCATATGCGGGACCTTGCAGACGGTTCTCGAAGCTACGAGTATTCTCGATTTTGATGTGTTAGTTCTGGGATTTTTTCAAACCATTCATGTGCTCCTTCGCCGAAAGATTTAACCAAAGATGTCTCCTTAACCATTGAGCAACATTTCACCATTGCGAACTATGACATCCAGGGTTGCTGGTTCAACTAATTTTGGATACGAACTCTGTTCATGACAAAAGTTCGGGTAATGTAATGCTCATGAACTGAACCAGTTCGTGAATACGCCAATTTTGAGCAGCCTCGTGAACCAATTCATGAACCCATTCGTGAACCAAAACCTAGGGTTATGGTTAGCAAAAACAGGGTTATGGTTAGCAAATACAGGCTGTATGCTCATATTCAAGAACAAAACGCCGATACATTGGGTCACCAAACCTGGCACAAGTGTAGCTGGTGGATAGTTGGACTGAAGGTGGCTTTGCAAGTCAGGAAAATTTTGCTTACTAGACCTGTGTTGCCTCATTTATGGTGCAGAATTCTCATGAACCAATAATGTGGAAAAGTTCACCAAATTTTGTATTCTGATGAACTTTGAACCTAGTTCATGAGTGGCCCAAACCCCCCATGAACCACTTCATGAACGTGCGCTTCATGAACCGGTTCGTGAACCCTAATTGAACTATTTCATGAAATATTAATTGAACCAGCAACCCTGATGACATCTACTGTAAGAATGTAAGTTGTTGGCCGGTGGGAGAGAAGTCTGGGGCAACATGTGACTATGTCATAAAGCGAAACTGCTTGGGTTCCCATGTCTGCGGGGTTTGTTAAATAAATATTGGATCAAACAGCGCGGTTGATGGGTCGGAACGTCGGAACTTGCCGTGTCAAGTCAAGTCGGACTGTGTGCTGCTTTTTCTCAGATCGCTCCGAGCCGGCCCCGAGCGACACTGACAAAGAGACTGTTACAATAATTCAGATAGAGAGGTGCAGCAGGTTTCGGCCCGGATTGCATCACTGCCGGTCTGCAGGTTGTCACCTAGAGAGGATAGAGGTAATCCTGAGCATCCGTGCCGTTGACACCTGTGCTCAGAGAAGGCGAAGCGGGATGGGAATCAAGACCCACCGTTGATGTGGGGTTTGCTTGGTGAGTGCTGACAATACATAAGAGGTCTCCCACAAGAGGCAGCAAAACCAGCAGGTAGGAGACGCACGCCTTGACCAGCTGGGCAACTAGCTAGGTCACTTCCGGCTGCGAGCAGCTGGATAGTGCGCTGCTTGTCATCCATGGAGTCTGGGCCTTGGGCTGTCTCCGCAGAACTTTCATCATCCCACCCTTTTGACCAGATTTCATCAAATCTTTCCTTGGCCAAGTAGAGGACCTCTTCTGCATCTTCGTCGGTGATGTTGAGCGGTCCTCCTGGTCTGTTGCAATTTGAAACTCGGTTCCTGATGACCTTTGGTTCTCCCAGTAATGCAAAGAGACTTTGAACAACACCTACTTTTTGAAGGGGATTGGAGAAGTTGTAGTTTCCCACTGGAGGTGTCGCATCGCCAATGAGGAGGTTGCGATCAACGACGCCGACGGACACTCCCTCCTCGATGAAAGGTCGGGGTCTTGGTCGCAGACAGCTCGAGTTTGCATCATCATTCCCAGCCTCAATTCATGCGAATATATCAGTACATGATATTTTATTCATTGAACGCACTCTTTCCTTTTGCCTTTTGTCTTCACCCTAAACGTCGGCCGTTCAGTTTTCAGTTGGTGTTCACTGGAATCAGTGGGTTGCACGAATGGACTGAGTGTCATTGCCTTGGATGGATCCACTCTATCTCCGCGCATCTCGCCATCATTGCCATTTTCGAAACCAAGCGTATTTGTCAATTACTCTTCTGCCGTGGCCGTGGACGTGGACATTGACGCTTCCCTCGGATACCTTCTTGTCTGTTGCTGTGACGCATCGCGCCAACCCTTTCTTGTTTGCTGCCGCCGTGGACGCATCGCGCCAAACATTGCTGTCGTGGCAAAATGCCTGCTACCAAATTTCCCATTGGCACGCTCGTGACTCCTAAGCGAAAGCAGCTGAAGCCCACTGCTGTGCAAAGGAAGTTATTGAAACGGATCAATGGACTGGAACGGCCCATTAGCTGGAACTCTCGGCAAATCAAGTCCTACGCCTACCCACGTAGAGCAAAACTGACATTTGCAGAACGGTTGATGTTCTTGTTGACCGAGAAGGGTGATTGGAGGGAATACATCCACTGGCAGAAACTCGATGAAAAGAACAAAACCAGCTCCACACATTTCATTTTGACTTCGAAATGTGAGAATGCCAGTCGTGATATCCTGTTCCAAAACACTTTTGGTATTTCAGATTTTAAACGCTTCCGTAAGCGTCTCCAAGACCATGGATTCAAAGTGTACAAAGGACTTGAGGGCTGGATTGTGTACCATCCTTTTGGTTTGCTCGTTGGTTGCCAGAGCACCTTCCTTTTGTCCAATGCTGTGTTTCCAAAGATTCCAAGGCCAGAAACACGGATTTACAAAACAATCTTTGCATTCTGGAACACAAACTGATGAAGTCCCTCCGACTGCGTGTCAAAGTGAACAATATCCAGCTTGTTCGTGATTCCCTGAATGACTATGGTGTTACTCTCAAAATGCCGGATTATTCTGGGGACACTGATGAAGAAGAGGACGATGACATGCCGGATGGAATTACTCGGCCACTCTACAAAGAAAAGGGCGAAGCGAAATCGAATGACTCTTCTGCCACTGCCGATAATACTGCTTTCATCCCGACCGACGACAACAATGCTGGAGTGGCTGTTTAAAAGGGCGTTCTGGTCTACCGGAACAATGAAACTGGCTGCTGTCAACAATTATGAAGTAACTGCGGCCAAGAATGTACAAGGTTTGTGTACCCATAAGGTCACATTGCAGAAAGAAAAAGTAAAAAATTATTGGTATCATTGCGAACGACACGGAGGTATGAGCAAAAGCAGAGTTCGTTTGGTGCTAGCAGCTAGATGACAAAGAGTGATTTAGGGCGCACAATTAATTGTACCGAACTGAATCAGGATCCGGAAAGTTGCCAATGGGGCCTGCATCATTCACGATACCGGTACCACGAAACCAAACCTCAATTCATTCATCCTTAGCCAGAATCCTCCAAGGCGGGGAGGGCCAAGAAGTACGAGCATCGCATCAGAATGATTCAATCTATCAACACCAGAAGTTACCAACGATGAACCCAATGAAATGAGTGCAGCAGGCTAGCCAACGACTTCAGGCCTGACTAACTACAGCCTCCTTCTTTGCTGCAAGCCTGGGTTTCCAACCAACCCACTAATCAAAAGTCCTTTTGAATTTGCCTAGACTACCCATGATATATGGATGACCAACTATACTCTTCTCTCTCTCTCTCTCTGTACGTCTGTTGCAATTAATATTTAATGCTTGGCATTGAAACGGTGACCAATTCCGGAGAAAGCTCCGGACTCTCGTTCCTCGTCCCACTGCTCCGACCAGGCATCAGGGCAGATGGCGTTGGCATACTGCCTCAAGGGAGCACACTTGGCTTCATCAGATTGCTTGGTGCAGAGGAGCCACTCGTTGTAACGATTCCAGCAGTGAAGGGCTTGGTTTTGGGCGGGGAAGCGCTCATCACGAGGAGCAGTACGGACTTGCTTGACCATGGAGAGGATGGCACCTTGTTCCTTGTTCATCTCCGGAGGAGCCGCCGAGAAAATCTTGCCAAATAGAGGTCATCAAAAGGGTCGGTCAGGCGAGCCCAGCGGTCAATGAAACTATGTATATGACCAAAACTCGAAATGCCTGCAATAATTTATTTCTCACCTTGCTAATCTTGGGTTCAGCCATTGTTACTGTTAATTATGCAAAAACAAACTAGCTATATAATAAAGGGTGGGGTGGGGGTGTAAAAACGACAACAGTGAGCTATAGCAGCAAAATGCCGATGGATCTCATCGTCATGCCGATGCGAACAGTGCGTCTCTGCGGCCGATGCAGGCCAGACTTGGCAACATGACACTTCATCGCTCCACCATACCAGATAATCCAAGTCTAACAAGCCAAGCCTAGCCAAGTGTCATGGTCCCCGTCAACACTTACTCTCCAACAACCGTGTGCGTTGTGGTGGTTTTTGCAGCAAGGAGCGTCATCGTCGCATCGACCTGCCGAGAGTCTGAGTGAGTCCACAGTCATTCGGGAATTATTGAGTCCACAGTAAATCGGGCCTCATTTTTATTTTTACTCCATCCACCTCCGCGTGGCGATCCCAACGCAAAGACATCATGGGACACACAACGACCGTCAAGATCGTCGTTCCAGCCAAAACAAACAAGTTTATCCCAAGTAGAAGCAACAAGTCATGGCAGCATCTCTTTATCATTTGAGCAGGCAACGATGGCGAGGCTTGGTCCTGGCGGTCGTAATGATTGGATGTCTTGTGGGAACTTCCAAGGCTGCTTCCAATTGTCCGATCAATGGCGGGAGTAGTGTACCCATCCTCCATCGAAGCATTTCATCATTATCGACACGACAACAGCCATATCCAATACTGAAACCAGCAGAATTGGATATCTTGTTCCAGCTTCGGGGAGGAGCTGATGATGATGAGGATGATGGTATCTCTCTGGATGAGACAACTTCAGCTTCACCCATCATGTCCAAACTACGAAATGTCATTCGATCAGTATTGCAAATAGGAGACCGAAAGATCCCCATAGTGTCAACTGGTCTCAAGGCTATTTTGGGAGGACTTGAAAACATCCTGGGAGTCGAGTTGCTCCCCAAGAAAAAGAAGAAAAAGGCAAAGAAAGCTGGCAAAAAGAACAAAAAGAAAAAGGCTGCCAAAGAAGAGGGTGATACTGAAGAAGAAGACGACAAACCAAAGGAAACATCCAAAAAACAACCCAGTGCTGCCACCAAAAAACATCTGGTTTCCAAACTGTCCGCTACCAACCCCAATTATCGGATCCAAAGAGAACTCAAAGAGTTCATCCAAGAACCGCCGCCGAATCTCTCTGTCAAGGTTGGCAAAAACATTCGAGTGTGGATCGTTACCATGATCGGAGCCAAAAACACCATCTACGAAGGTGAAGTCTACAAACTTCGAGTATCTTTCCCTCCACAATATCCAACCATGCCACCCAGTGTCTACTTTTTGCCACCCAACATTCCGTAAGTGATGACATGGCATTCGTACACCAATTATTTTGTTTGTCGGAATATATCCAATCAATCTTACTCTTCCTGTTCTTTGTTTGCTTTGTGGCACCCAAGAAAACACGAACACGTGTATACCAATGGAGACATTTGCCTGTCACTGCTGGGCAAAGACTGGCGTCCCACCATGACAGCTCAATCCATTGCCAACTCCATTCTATCCATACTTTCCTCGGCGCAGTCAAAGTCGATTCCTATGGACAACGCCAAACATGCCCAAAACAAACCAGGACAGTACCAAGAAGATTGGGTGTATCACGACGACAATTGCTAATGATCAAACACTTGCATCTATCTAGATCCATACCGTAGGAAATGGCCGACAAAGGGAACTTTAGTCGCGGCAATTCAAATGGATGAGTCAATCTTCTTGGGTGTGATTGTTGTGTAGGGCCACAAGCCATGGACGAGCTATTCGTTGATCATGTCAGTCAATGTAAACACTAACAACTGTACTGGTATCCAGTAGGCAGAATCTGACCCTTGCTTGCTTGCACGCCAATCCAGTCCAATAGTCGTAAAACTAACTTCCACTATAGCTAGCTAGGAAAGCGATTCCTATGCTTGGCAACATGATTGTGTTCTGGGACGGCAAGCGTGATGCCACCGGTGAGAACCTGCTCCTACCTAGACAATTATTGGGAGATGATAGCACTGTAGATACTGGTAGGCTGGGGGAACGGCATCTTTCAGGCCTGGCTACAAGTGTATCTCAAGCTTCAGCTGGCTGGCTAGCTAGCTACTGCTGCTTCCTACCAGTACATGTCTTCAGCAACTTCTTTGCTTTGTGGACACCCAAATGATATAGTTCATCTCTCAAGACTTGCACTACCGGTAGCTAGCTAGCTACTAGCTAGTACTAGCTAGTAGCACCGCTACTTGGACGGCCACAGGGAATCGATCGAATCGAATCGAATGATTCGATTCGATTCGATTCAATCTTTTTCGGTCGGGTGAGCTTCGGCTGGCCGCGCGGACAAGGGTATCTTTGTAGGGTTAGGCTTATATTTCTGACACCAAATGGTCTTGCCGTCGTCCGTTC